GCCTAAGAAACCCGTCCGATCGCGAACGCCTCCGAGTCAGGCCACACGCACGCTCGCAACGCTCCAGACAAGCTGAACCTGATTGGATGATCACAGAACAAGTCAGCAAAGGTTTGTCCAATCGATCAATCGATATGTCAAGGACACTATCTGTTTCGTGCGTCACTGCGCCGTCCTCGTATGCACGATTAGTTCTATATTTTTTTGACAAACCAAACACAACACATTCCACTACCATTTAGATGCGACACCTCAAAATTTGTGCGTAGGATGTTATCAAACGCCATCGAAAATAACGTTCTACGCAGCCAAGTTGCAAACCCAATTCACATGTAACCCACGGTGTATAGACAGTTGAAGGATTGAACACTCGATTCTGCTATCTCTTTCTGTACCCACTCTTTCACTTGCTCCAGTAGAGCACTTGACTAGGCGTCTGTCCGAGCGCATCTGTGAGTATCACTATGTGGGGATGAGAAGTGGGGTAATTAAGCCAATCGCAAGTGACTTGGACCCCAGTGACTTGGAACGAGTATATTTCCATGTCTGTTTTGGATGATCCAAGCTCAATTGGCTGGGTGAACCTTTCGAACAAACGATATGGGATCATTTTACACACAAAACAACCTGATCAAACGGACGTGCGTTAGTGTAAATTACATGTTCTCTCGGTACAATAGACAAGTTATTAATAGTCATTCCATCTCCATTTATATCTCAAAGCCACGAGTGTGAAGTACGAACAAACAGGATCTCATCGGACGTGTGTGAAAGCGGACTACAGAATACAACGTCGCATCCCAGATGCTAAGGTCGGTTACCAGTAAATTCGTATCCCGATCACTTAGACGAGTCTCATTTGTACGGATGGAAGAAGAGAAATGTACGAGACATCGCAACCTACCGACCGATGACAGTTGCACTCACAGCTTATAGTCGGAGAACGCGAAACAATTCAAAACTCACCGCGTTGAACTGTGGCAACGAAACCTGTCGTTTTCTTCTGCGCCGTACTGGCAAAATACTCGATGAAAGCACTTCCCCCTTCGATCGTTTGTTCCGCTGGGCTAGGAACTTTGCAATGTTTATCCGCACTTGTCAGGGATGCTTCATCTTTCGCAAACTTCACGTAATCCGTATCACATGTTTCCGTGCCATCTCCGAACTGAAATGATCAGACAGAGCGGGGATTGATATCGTGTAAATCATGAGTGACAGAATGTTGCGACAATCATAAACTCGTAAATTTAACATTTCTGAAAGTCGAAGTACCCAAATATTCCATCCGATCAAAGAATACTCTATTGAATTACATGATAACACATTGTGTATTTTATTCATTCGCGTTCCATTTTTGAACGGTAATTTTTTGGACTTGCGTATTGAATACATGAGAGGGAAGCAAAACTCCGGAAACGAAAAATGTTGACTATTCTCGAAATGCTTGTTCACATCATCCAAAATTAACTGAACACGTGATTGTCATGCGGTCCTATGAAATTTGCAGTTCTTCAAATCAACTGACTGCAAGAGGGTTGAATGTGTTGAAATTGTCAACCAAAATCATGCATTGATCAGCCAGTATGCGTATATAATCACTTCAGTCTGGACCAGTTTATTCTAGTCACTCGATCGGTTCACACACATCGCATATTATTCGAATACTCCAGACAGAAAACAACGCGCACATTGTGCATATTATTCGGACAGTGCAAGCATTCTATTTCATTTTCTGCGTTTTCTTATCTCATTTGCTTGCGAATGCGAATGTGATCAAATTTGGACATACCAGGTGAGCAATCCGTATGTGAGTATTGTGTACGCAGTTGAACTGACCTGAAGTTCCGTGAAAGTGAGGAGTACATTATAACCGGAATCCTGATTTTTCACGGTAATCAAGCACTTCTTATCCTTCGTAAGCGTTGCGTCCTTCGCAGTGATTGTTTGTTTTGTATCGTCTGTTAATGTGATTTCTCCGGGGCATGTTCTCGACGGTGCTGGCTCTTGCTTAACTAAAAACGACCCAAGAAATGAAATTTGTAGGGACAAGTTGTTCCCGGTGGGTAGTCAATATCCGCATTGTCTGTAGTGTATGCCAACATGACTGATGAACATCTAGTTTCGGTAGATAATAACAATTGTGTTTAAACAAATATTGATGCCATCCGATGTGTGTCTGAATTCCCTAAATCGGATTGAGCTCTGTTATTCCCGTCAATAAGGTTTACTCAAATGCCAAGCACACGCTCATTCATGGATTTCTAATAATTTGTAAACAACAACTATATGTCAACCGTTTTGACGAATTCTTATTCGTCCTATCGTGTCCCGTAAAGGCAAATGAATATCCGCGTAGTAAATCAGGCGATATGTTCACTCACAATAGGACCGATGAACAAGCAAGCTGGCAGGTTGACAAACGTCGCACATGTTACAAGGGCCATCAAAGAGGACAATGCACATGCCAATCAGCGCGGACGAGTCAATATTGACGTCTGATGCGCTGAGACGAATCGAAATTGCCACAGAGTAGTCACCCGTGACTTACTCGCGTGCACGTTTCGGCACGGTCCATCAATCGATCAATCGATCCGGCTATACAAATGCACGAGGAACCCTCCAGTCAATTGTAGGCCAATACATGGATCAAATTTTCATTCAATGAATCAAGTACAAACAAGTGGATTTGATAGTTGACTAAACTATCCAATGCTTTCTGCACTCGCTCTCTCCCTCTCTATCTCCTGCTTATCCGACATTCACCGAAATTCACCTCACCCCATTCACATTGCCCGTCTCATCGAATGAGATTGCAAAATAAATGCATCTAATTGGAGCTTGCTGGAAACAATTAGGCAATAGTGTAACTATTCCAAATAATGTCAAACTGCAGACCGGACCACGTGATGAGAACACAAATTGGCAGACAAGCTGGTTCTGAGGGTATCTTAGTCATGTCATTATAGCATTTTTTATGTATATGACTAATAACAGATAAGTAGTTATGAGGGATTAAAGAAAGTAATCAAGGAAATCGACGGTTCGGATCCTAGTCGGTCCCCAATTATCACTTACTGGGATGTCTCCTGTCGGGTCACTTGTCGGCGATCGGGCCATTGAAGCCTTAGTGCTTGAACAAATTGCTTTTGAGCATGCGAGAGGAGGGGGTAGTAACTGTTTCCTCTCTGGCTGGAATGTGAAACCGTGCGTGTGTGTCCCGTTTTAACCTGGTACAGGAGTCGGAACACCTCGGTCGCGTTTACGATGTGATTCGTGTCGACGACGTGCAGGTACGTTAAGAAAATGTAAACAAAAGGGCACTATAGACACAGGTAGGTTTCAATGGTTCCCCCAAAAGGGACTGCGCTTGCACTGCTGTATGGGCTTCCCCAAACTACATAAGTGCGGAGTTCCCCTCTAGCCGATCTTGAACACGTGCATCTCTCCTTACCATGCGATAGCCAAATGGTCGGGTCTTCTGTAAGAGAGACCTGTGAGAGTGACCTTAACTCAGCATAACCTTAAGGATGCAATCGTTCTCATTGACGCCTTGGGTGGCTAAAGTGACAAAGACCGCCACATGCCTTCGCTTGATGTCACTCATATATCTCTTCAAGAATGTTCCGATCAGCGAAACACTTGATTATCTGTACACCTATATCGAACGAAATGGGATTAACGTAAACCTATCGACAGATGACCTAGAAACCTTGTTATTATTATATATTGACAATGTGTATTCAAGTTCAATGAGGAAGTCCATCGCCAGAAGGACGGTGTAGCAATGGGGTCCCCGCTGGGGTAACTGTTTGCTGAGGTTCTTATGCCTAAAAATAGAAAATGATCCGCTGGAAACACAGTGAACAATGCGTACGGTACAAACGTTACGTAGACGAAATTTTGTGCGTGGTCGATTCCACAACGGACTGCAAACATCTGCCAGATACTTCCAATGTTACTCATCGGAATTTGAAATTCACGGTTGAAAATGAAGCAAACAATCATCTAGCACACTCAGATGTTTACCAAACCCGTTGTCAGGAAAGATCCAACAAGCGGTCAGTATACAGGAAGGCGATATGGAATGGGCAGCACATTCCTTTTCGTATCTTTGTACAACTCCGTATGAAGAAAAATCCCATACTCTGTTTGGTCAACGGAGCTAGAAGAATCTGCACAGAGGATATGTTGGTTGACAAACTCCCGAATGTGCGGAATATCTTCATCCGGAATGGATACCCGAAGCGGTTGGTGGAATCTGTGATGCAATGATAAGCAACGTTTCCCGAAAGGGTCATTAGTGATAAAAAAGTGTGTGTACATTTTGTTAGGACGGAGCCTAAGAAACCCGTCCGATCGCGAACGCCTCCGAGTCAGGCCACACGCACGCTCGCAACGCTCCAGACAAGCTGAACCTGATTGGATGATCACAGAACAAGTCAGCAAAGGTTTGTCCAATCGATCAATCGATATGTCAAGGACACTATCTGTTTCGTGCGTCACTGCGCCGTCCTCGTATGCACGATTAGTTCTATATTTTTTTGACAAACCAAACACAACACATTCCACTACCATTTAGATGCGACACCTCAAAATTTGTGCGTAGGATGTTATCAAACGCCATCGAAAATAACGTTCTACGCAGCCAAGTTGCAAACCCAATTCACATGTAACCCACGGTGTATAGACAGTTGAAGGATTGAACACTCGATTCTGCTATCTCTTTCTGTACCCACTCT